AAAAAAAAAAAAAAAAAAGGAAGATAAAGTTCTTAACATTGCTTTAGAAAAGTGCTTAATATTTCAACCCATGGGTTGAAAAACTATAACTTTTTATTATTATCTCAAAGCCTCTCTTAGTTATAAAAGGACTTTAGAAAAAAACGCCAAGTTGTTGTTTCATCATATTAAATACAGTAGAACCTTGTCCCAGAAATTATAAAATGACATTGTTGCACAGCTGGGCCTTTCACATCCTGTGTCAAGCTTCCTGGTTCTCGCCTTTCTGGCTCCTTGGGACTCTGTGTACAATTAACAGGAACGGGGGAAGACAACCAGCAACCACCCTTTCTGAACTCTTTCAAGGCTCATCCTCTAGGCCCTCTCCCTTCTAGCCTCATGCAGGCCCATGAGTTAGGAGGGGAGTTCGTGGCAGAGAGGTCCAAGACAAACTGAAAGACTTCCCAAAAGAGGTGGTCCTTCAGTTATCTTTTTTTTTTTCTTTTACAATTTGGCCACTAATTTACCCAGTGATCTTCAGAAGATAAAGAGAGGGAATTTTATTTTTTATAACAAAGTTAATATATGTTTATTTAGAATTTTTTACCAATAAGATAAGTAAACAGAAGGGGGAAATTCCTTGTTAAGACCATCATCCAAAGAATAATCTCCATCCAATATTTCAAAATTTTCCTTTGTTTTGCTCTGTTTTTTCTTTTCTTCCCATGGACACACAGTGACAACAAAGGGATTATTGTATGTGTCAAAATTAAAGTTGTCCAAGGCTCTTTGAAGACAAGGGAAGAAGGCCATGCTGAAGTGTGAACTTTGTTTTTGATGCAAGTTTGTATTATATACCATGATAGATTGATTGAATGAGTATTCTGATGTTGAATATTAGAGATGTTTTCAGGGCGGTGTTTTTCCCCCCACTGTCAAGTTTTCACTGGTATAATTTAGTTGAAACTCACAGGATGAGTAGATGAAGGCCCGGAGGCTAGAAGGAGAGACAGACAGAAGGAGAGGAGGGTGTGTACACCAGCTAAAGAGACTCATCCTAACTATAACTTGAAGGGCTGGGGAAATTACCTGACAAGCTCAGCATTTTATCGCTCCCAGCAACCTGGGTAGTGGGGAGGTGGAGGAGGCACAAGTAGGCAAGAGCAATTGTTGAGAACCAGACAGCTATCTGGAGAGAATAACTTAAAAGATTTAAAAAAAAAAATGAGAATGAGGTATGAGGGAGGCAGCACACCTTTCCTGTAAAGCAGTGATTTTCAACCATTGTGCCATAAGAGGATCTTAGGTGTGCTGCAAAAATTTTTAAAATTTTGGCTCAGTGCCCATAGCTCTGTGGTTAGGGCACTGGCCACATATACCGGGTCTGGTGGGTTCAAACCCAACCCAGGCCTGCTAAACAACAATGACAACTACAAAAAAAAAAAAAAATAGCTGGGCATTGTGGTGGGCATCTATAGTCCTAGCTACTTGGGAGGCTGAGGCAAGAGAATCGCTTAAGCCCAAGAATTTGAAGTTACTGTGAGCCGTGATGCCACAGCACTCTACCAAGGGTGACAGAGGGAGACTCTCTCAAAAAAATAAAAAAAAAATTAAGTTCTGAAACTATTTTCAAAAAACGTTCAAAGCACAGGAAGCATATTCTTTTTTTTAAATCTTTTTTTATCAACATAATATAAGTATGCCATAGAAGTTTAACTGTAGGTTCAAATGTGCCATAAGACAGAAAAAAAAAAAAAAAAGAAGAAGAAGCTTGAATAACACTGCTGTAAAGGGTTAGAGTGAGCATATTAGGTTTTGTGGACCACACAGAGTTTAAAAAGGTAAAAAACAATTCTTTGTTTAGCTGGGGACAGAAACTGGCTGTAGGTGCTGTGCAATTTGCCACAATCTGCTTCCCTCTCCTCCCTACCCATCCACAGCAGAAGCTGCTGAGGCCCACACCTCTAAGCTGCCTGGTGTCTTTTACACTCAAAAGGTTTCGTTTTTTTCACACCACCTTCCTCCATGGCAAGAAAACAATTTTCAGTAATAACCATGTAATAGTCAATAATAATTACCATTTCTTGTCTGTTTTAAAAAAAAGAGTAGATTTCAGTTTTAAAGATATTGTTCAAAGTGTGTAAAACATTTCTGTATTAAGTAAAAATGTCACTTTCCAAACCAAAGTTTTTCATCTTACAGTCTTGCATTCTGTTTCACGATTTTTAAATTGTAAACAAAAATAAAATCTACAAGTAGGCACACGGAGTGACAGCAGAGAAGTGACTCAGTCCTGGTTCTTTTTCTCGACAATACTTGTGCTGGCCCAGTTCATCCTCAATGGTCCTATTAAAGGTCATAAAGTGTAGCAGAGTAGGAGTTGCAGATACAGATTTTTGAGGTAAGTGCCAATTCTGAACTTACAGTTTACTCTTGAAATTAATGTGTTTAGCTGAGGCCACATCTGTGCCAGGGACAACTGTAAAACCAGGAGTTCTCTACAATAAATTCCACATATAGAACACAATGTTCATAAAAGAATGAGTAATAAAAACTGGCCATTTGGAAAGGGTACATTTGTGTCATGAAAACTCAACATAATTGTTTAGAACTTAAACCAGAAAAGAAAAAAAAAAAAGAACTTAAACCAGCAGAACATTTTTCTCAGGGAGGTATATTTTATCAGTGTTTTGTTGTCTAGAATTGCTGGCACGTAGTGATAACTAAAAAAGCAGACCAACTTTTAGCCACTTGTTTTTATGTTCTCCATAGACAGTGTTCCCCCTTATTTTGGGATCTGGGGCAGAGTGCTCCCTGGCACTGTCCTTGGTGCGCCACAGCCCATAACCAGGCAGCTGGGCCCTGCAGGACACAACTCAACATTGGAACTGCTCTGCAGTCGTTTCCACTTATAGGCAACGGTGTTTTCTATTATCCTGAACATTGACCTCTGCCCTCCTCATTCTCAGCCAGTGACCTAACTTCCTGCTTCACCAAGAAATTAAACCATTAGATGTGACTTCCCCTCCCACCACTTACCGTCTGAGCTCTGTCCACTCCCTCCGTCTTCCATACTCAAGGGGTTGGTATTTCTCCCTGTTGAAGACCAAACCTATCCTATCTCCTCCAGGATTAGTCTTTCTCACTCTTTGCCCTGCCCCCATCCCACTCCTTTTCCTCAGTCTTTATATACCTCTTAATTCTCATCCTAAAAATGACAGAAAAAAAAAAAAAGAGAGAAGGAGAAATAAAACAAACCTTTCCTGACCTGGTATCATCTAACTCTATCCAGCCTCCCTTCTCTTCTCTAAACATCTTAAGAGATAGATCTGTGCAAACACCAACCTCGATTTGTCTCTTCCTCGTGCAAATTCAGACCATGGCTGAATTACGTGATTGATTACATGCGAGGTAAACTCCATGCTTCTTACTTGGCACAGGAGCCCAGCGTGACCTGTGCCATCATTGTACTATCCGAACTCCTTTAGTCCGATTGCCTGTTTTCTAACTAATTCTCTAGTACCTCATTAAGTTTCCCAGGTAAATGCTGGGAATGGAGGTGGGTGGAGGGGATAAAAGTATGCGTCTTGTTTTATCAAACGATTATTACAAAGCCGTATCTCCCATTGTAAGACAGTACATTGCCCTTCTACCCTATCGGTCTCCTCTAAATTGGCCAGTCCCTGAGCTAATCCATTCTGGCCATCCCAAGCCACTCCCACAAAACCTGAGAACCAGATCCTCTGCCAAGGCCCCCAGCAAGTTGAAGCTGCCCTGGCCTGGTATTCCTTCTCTGACATCCTTCTTATCACCTGTCTCTGTTTGAGAGAAAAGGTTATGAGCACTGGAGTCAGGACTACCTGACTGGGTTCGAATCCTGGTTTCCCCTCTGGCTGCCCTTCCATACTGGCCGGGAGACCGTGGAAACCTCGCCTCACGTCTCTGAGTCTCTTTGCAAGATTGTAATACCTACATAAATGATAGCTATCAAAATGAAACAGGTTCCTGTGAAAAAGCAAAAAGTGTTCATGACAAGATGGCTCTGACGACCTGAGGTGACATTGGAGCTGCTTTGGTTGCCATGGGGAGGTAGAGCTGCCCAAAGAAGATGAAGATATTTTTTGTTTCAATGTTCAGTGAAATTATTTGTAACATGTATTTCAGGAAAATCTTGGAAAATGTATACAAGTCATGAAGATATCGGGTATGATTTTGAAGATGACACTAAAGAGAAGAAGACGCTTAAGCCCCACCCCGACATTGATGGGGGCTGGGCCTGGATGATGGTCCTTTCGTCTTTCTTTGTGCACATCCTCATCATGGGCTCCCAGATGGCCCTGGGGGTCCTCAATGTGGAGTGGCTGGAAGAATTCCACCAGAGCCGCGGCCTGACCGCCTGGGTCAGCTCCCTCAGCATGGGCATCACCTTGATCGTGGGTATGTTTTTCTGTGACCTGTTGTAAAACTGAGTGATTATAAAATGACAATTCCCCACTGTAAGTAATGCTTTATATCATAGAAACATTAGACATTAGATGTTACTGGCTACCATTTTTAACTGTGGTAAAATATATATGACATTCAGTTTACCTTTTTAACCATTTTTAGATACACAGTTCAGTGCCATTAAGTATATTCATGCTGTTGTGTTACCAACAGTCACCACCATCCAGCTCCAGAACGTTTTGGGTTTGTTGTTTTTTTGGTTTTTTGTTTTTTTGTTTTTTTG